GGCACACTATATTTGTCTTATCAAAGCTTCTTTAATCACTGCAAATAAATCACGCATCTTCTCTATATGGTTCCTTAGCAAATATATTAACGTATGGCTAATGAAAGTGAAAGGTGCTCGGTTGTGTCGGATTCTTTGTGACCCTATGGACTATACAATCCGTGGAATTCTCCGGGCCGGAATACTGGAGTGGGTAGCTGTTTCCTTCTCCAGGGGATCTTCCCAACCCAGGGATCAAACCCAGGTCTCCCACATTGCAGGTGGATTTTTTACCGTCTGAGCCACAAGGGAAGCCCAAGAAAACTGGAGTGGGTAGCCTATCCCTTCTCCAGCGGATCTTCCCGACCCAGGAATCGAACCAGGGTCTCCTGCATTACCGGTGGACTCTTTACCAACTGAGCTATCAGGTATGACTAATACTTCAAAACTAACACTTAGCCGATACAGATTAAACCTGCAGGGACAGGGACAGTACAGAGTAGAACAGGTGACAGCTGTCCACAATGAGGGGCAAGACTGAACTGTGAACATATCTTAGATTATATTACTTTTAAAACCTTAAAGACATATCCCCATTAAAGTACAGTTTAAAGGCCCTGTAAATACATTTAATGACAAGAGAAAACACCATGCCATAAAAATAAGACCTAAAGCGTATAATCCAGGCCATCAAGCTCTAATCTAAGGACAGCTTAGTAGAGCTATTTCAGGTGCTAAGTACTCTCCTGAATGCTGCTTGTTCACAACCAGAACCACCAAGTCATTCCACGTATGTGTGCTCAGTCACTCGGTCATGTCTGACTCTTTGCAGCCCTATGGACCGCAGCACTCCAGGCTTCTCTGTCCAAGGGATTTTCCAGGGAAGAATACTGGAATGGGTTGCCACGCCCTCCTCTAGGGATCTTCCCGACCCAGGGACTGAACCTGCGTCTCCCGCGTCCCCTGCACTGGCAGGCAGATTCTTTACCTCTAGCACCATCTGGGAAACCCACGTCATTCCATAGGGAAAGTTTAATAGATTTTTCTCTGTCATGAGACCTACACATGCAGGGGCTACTTTGGAGGATTTCCGTGTTTCTCTTAATGGGATGGGTTTAAATAGTAGAAAAGGAATGATAGGTTTTGTTAGGTAGTAACAATAAAATTGGTTTAGGTTTTTCCTTTTGACAATGCCGCCCAGATTTTGGGATAGGAGAGAAGGCAGAAAACAGTAGAATCCCTAAAGATACTAAAGTGAAAGTGTTAGCTGCTTAGTGAGGTCTGACTCTTTGCGACCCCATGGACTGTAGCCCACCAAGCTCCTCTGTCCATGGAATTCTCCAGGCAAGAATACTGGAGTGGGTTGTCATTCCCTTCTCTAGGGGATCTTCCTGACCCAGTGATCAAACTCAGGTGTCCCGAATTGCAGATTCTTTAGCATCTGAGACACCAGGGTAGCCAGAGACACTAAAAACCAACATAAACGAATGAAGTTTGCTCACACAAAGTGCCCACCCTAGGAGATGGCCTATGAAGGTGCTGGTAGCTATCAAGTCTTAAAAATGTGTTTTGACTCAGCAATTGTACATACCATGATCACAGTTTACCCTCAGGAAATAATCAGATGACTACACAGGTACACATAAAGATGTCCAGTTTATAATGGCAAAAATTAGCAATGAGGACTTCCCTGCTCGTACAGTGGATAGCAATCTGCCTGCCTATGCATGGGGAACGGGTTCAATCCCAGGTCTGGAAGATTCCACATGCCGCAGGCAACTAAACCCCAAGGGCTATGACTACTGAGCCCAAGCTCTAGACCCTGCCCTTGAGCAGAAGCCACCACAATGAGAAGCCGGTACATCACAGCTAGAGAGTAGCCCCCACTTGCTGCAACTAGAGAAAGTACTCACAGCAATGAAGGCCTAGCAGAGCCAAATATAAAATGAATTTCAAAAAAATGAGCAATGAAAGGTCAGAAAGAAATTATGTAATCAGAATAAATTAGGTAGCCCTGTCATATATGGTGGTAACAGCCTCATTGAACTCCTGCCACTGGGCTTGGAAATGTTTACATTCTTCACTGCAACCACGGAACAGTGAGGGTTGATTAGAAGTCTATTCAGAGAATTCATTACCATGCTGCTATCAAAACTCAACATATTTCTAAGGAGAAAGCAAAACATAAAGAAGAAGAGCCCATTTTAAAATTAACTATGAAATTACCTTTGGTGCATATATAGATGCACACAGACCTGATTCTGAAGTGCTTATTTCTAGCTGTTGGTTTGTGGGTGGTTTCTCCTTCAGTTCTCCTCTTTCTTTAAGGGCAACGCTATACTAAAAAAGATGACTATTAATAAAAACCTGACTATTACAGGTTAATTTAGGAGCATTTTTGCCTCTGCAAAGAACTCATGAAACTGTTTCTAATAATGTGGGAAATTTAAAAGACTATATGAGTTGTTTTGTGTGTAGTTTTTATTTTCCAGGATCAAAAATTAATTTTCAACTATTCATAAATCTGTTAGACCTGGTAAAAACATTAACTCAGTATCATCAATTAGTGATAGCATTAAACTTGTTTGATGTTAGCTTCCAATAGCTATTCAATAAACAGGAGAAATGCGACAGAGTCTACATTAAAAAGCAGGGTCTCTGACTTCTTTTCCAAAAGCAATAAACTCAGTTCTCTGTAAAGAGGGCAGCTTAACAGTGGAAGCTAGTTACTTTGAGCAAAGTAACACAGCCTTGCAACAGACAGGGTGGGACCACTGCACTGCCTGATTTCAACTGCATGATACACCCACCCATTTGATATTTTAGCTCCTTTAATGTTCTTCCCTAAAAGAACTGGAAGCACTGTATTTTAGGCTAGTGGGAATGAGTCAAAATCCAATTAGCTACTCTGAAAGCATCCTTTTCAAACACTTATTTTCTTTCTTGCAGATCAGCAAGGAATCTTGGAACTGCTAATGAAGGAATAGAAATCTGTTAAATACAATGGCCCCAGGCACCACCCTAATAAACTCTACCGTTTTAATCAGTTCAGAGCTGTGCTGGCTAATGCAGTTTTCCTCCATCACAAGGAAAGAGGCTGGTGCTCCAGTAGGAGAATCAGCAGGCAGAGGGCACTGTGAAGGGCGCGGTGGGAGCTTCAAGTCGACAGGGGAATAGATTACGCAGCCAGCCTCACAGAGGCTGCTCCAGAGCAAGGAACTCTCTGGGTTCAGAATACAAGCACTAAAAAAAAAAAGACCACCTCACTAGAAACAGTAAATCAAAATCACTGAGAATAAAATAATTTTTTAAAAATCTCTGTTAGCTTGAGAAATGACTTTAATAACATGGCCAACTTGTTTAAAATCCTCCAGAATGACAAATCAATATTCTGTCTTAATTTAGGAACAGGGCCCCCTCCCCAAACCTTGTGTTACTCTCAAGATAAATCTCAATGGAAAGATGAAGCAAAATGAGTGGGAAGGGCAGAAAAGAGATGAATGAGAAATCATGCCTATGTCTGAAGAACAGTCAAATTTTCTGATGGGAGAAACAAAGTACCTAGGTAAACAACTACAATAAAAAGTACCAAAAAACTCAGGAACACTCTCATCAAGGGTATTTTTGCAGACAAATGCTTAACCACTGCTTGTTTGTAATAAGGAACATATCTGGGTAGCAACTAAAACACAAAACTACAACTAAAATACTCAAAACAACAGGATAAGTGCTACTTTATGTAGAACTGTCCCACACTTAAAAATGGCTGTGCCAGGCCTGTGAGGTCGTTAAACAAGACTCCAAACATCTAGAAGACTCCAAAAGGACCCAAAGGCTGTACTGAAAGAAAACAAGTCACTAATACAAAACATTTTAACTTCTATTTTCCGAAAAACAAAAACACCAGCTCCCCTCCTAACCTCCCTAAAAATACATTGCCGCCACTGAAACACATGAGATGCCATGACGATCCGCCAAATGATGCTTTCAAAACAAGGCACATCTTAGAATAACGTTGTTTCTGGCGCTCCAACCAGCAGGTGAGAAGCATTTCAACACACCTTCCCAACACACCTTCTCACTTGATCCTGCGGTCCCCCATCAGCCCTCCCACCGGTTGCTGACCCCAGCATCACGGTTCACCAGCACTTATCAGGCTCCTGCTGATACCCAATACCGGCATCTCTACCTTATGAACTCGTCCCTGCGCTACCCTGAGGAACTCCCCGGCCACATTGAGCATCTCCAAGCCCGCCTAGGGCCTTCGGGAAAAGGCCTTGGGGGAGAACTCTGAGGTCGCTAAGTGCAGTGTGGCCAGACAGGACCGCCGAGCGACACCCGTCAGACCAGCCACTAATTGTTTAAGAGAAGAAACAGGAGAAGACGCGGCCGGGATGGGCGTGGGCGCCGCGTAAAACCACCGTCGGGGGATGTGGTCTGGAGGGGGACAGGCCCCGCGCCCCTCGGGCCTCCCCGCTGCCCCATCGCCCGGACTTCCTCCTTCGAGAGCCCGCATTTCAGCCCGGGAAGGGCTGGTAACCGGCCCCGGTGCACCGAGGGTGCGGGGCGCGGCAGAAGGGCGGGGGCGTGGGGTCGGGCCGGTAACTCACCCGCCGGCGAAGAGGTGAAGCAACGTGTTCTCCTTCTGCTGAGTCCCCGTCGCCATGGCCGCGCCGGCTCCGCGGCCCGCAGCCGCTGGGTGCCGCGGGCTCGAGGCGGCTCGACCGAGGCGCGAGGTAGTCGCTCCGCTCTCCCGGCTGCCCTCAGGCGGCCTCCGATGCCGCCTCCATGCGCGCGCAACCCCGTGACCGGCTCCCTCAGCTCGCGCCCTCGGCCGCGTGGCTGGAGGCGCCTCACCGGCCACTGCAGCGCGAGCGCGGCAGCCAGCGGGAACCAGGCGCGCGGCTGTCACGTGCGGGGGCCGGGTCGTGACGTCATTCGGCGGCGCGGGCTCGGGGCGGTGCGCGACGGGGGTGTGGGCCCGGATTCCGCGCCGCTATTGGTCAGAGGGCGGACCTGGGCGGAGCGACTGCGCAGCCCGGGAGGGAGAGAAAGGTGGGAGCCGTGGGAGCCAATGCGCTTGGAGTGAGAACCGGCTAAAGCTGCCTGGTCTCTGATCCGAGAGGCTTAGAAACTGGGATTGGTGGAACCCAGCGAGACCGTGAGCCTGGCCTTTATTCATTTTTATAGTCGTTTACTTTGTGATACTTAAAGTGTGTAAAAAAGTATATAAATTACGTATGACAATTCAAGCTCTGTGCTTATCACGCAGTTTATAGGGGGAAAAAACAAGATCCAAACAGCTTTAACTCCCAGTGGTATCATTTTGTGTTTCTTTGATTTTTCTAGAAATAGCTTTTTGGTCTCTTTTCTGATCATCTCCAGCCCAGACGTATGAACTCCCAAGTTTCTGTATCCGAGCTGTTTGTTTCTCTATTTGTGTGTCCTTGGGTCATCGTCAAGCTTCACCTGACAACTTAACTCCAAGTCTCCACGCTCACGCAGGCCTTCCCTTGCCCCCGTTTGCTGTATATTCTACCTCGTGACTCTTATTTAATTTCCTCACGTAGGCTTCTGCAGTTTTTTTGTTGTTTTATTTGTGTAAATTGTCCTTCCGCCCCTGGAGTGTAAGCTTCAGGAGTGCAGGGATTTTGTTCCTTTCGTTCAGGATTTTCCCTGAGAAGGTGTCTGCCCCTTGGCAGATACCAAGGTATACGCCTAAGAAAATAATGAATGAAGGTCCTGAATAGGACTCGTCACTTCATTCTTCCCCTCCCCCAAACCTGTCTGCCTCTTGTATTTCCTGTCCTGGAAGAAGATGATGCCACCATCTGCACAGCCACCAATGCCAATAACTTTCCTATTACCTTTAACTCCTCTCTCTCTCTCCTCAGCCCACCAGGCACTTCTGTCCTTGGAATTCTCCCAGAGTTATCCCCCTCTCTGTGTTCCTTCCACTGCGCCCGCTGGTTTCAAGTCTTCCTGTCTCTTGCAGCAAAAATCTTCCACCTGTCACAAGCCACCCTTTCATCCCTTTAGTTGGTTGCCCTCCACTCTCATCCCCCTCCAGAGGCACCAGGTACAGACTATACCAGCACTTTGTTTTCAATCTCCCAGGGCTGCTAAAAGCAGTACGTCAACCAGACCAGGTTGCTAGCTGTCCTGTGTGTAAACACAGTGAGAGTTTAGGCAGAAGGGAGATTGTGTGCAAACACAGCAGCTAGGTATTTGATTGCTGGGGCTCTTTAAAAACAAGTCTTAAGAGCAGTCATCCAAAATACAAATACGGTGACTACTGTATATTAAAGCCATTACTCCCCCTAGGAGCAGGAAAAGTTACATCAGTGCTCCATATATGGGGAGAAATAAGGGAAGAAGGAAATGAGGCAGCAAGGAAAAAAAGAAAGCTGTTTTTTCCTGCTTCCGGGATCTCTCAAATCCCTTGATTCAGTTGCTCAGAAAGTCAATGTTCGTTTTAGCTGAAGATGGTTTATGAGGCATGTGTAGAAAACAGGTAATACAATCATGTTAACCAGGAGGAAGCTGTTCCCATCCTGGTGAGATTCTAAACCCAAGGAGATACACTCTTGGAGCACAACCCTCCATCTTGGCTGCTTTCTCACACAGGTGTCTGAGGCTGGAACCCAGGCTTCTCACCCATAGCAGCATCCTGCCTCCTTCTCTTTCCTAAGCACTGTCAGTCTAGTCTGTGCCAGACACATAAGTGTATGTGTGTGTGTGTGTGCCAAGTTGCTTTAGTCGTGTCTGACTGTTTGCAATCCTATGGACAGTAGCCCACCAGGCTCTTCTGTCCAGGGAATGCTCCAGGCAAGAATACTAGAATGGATTGCCATGCCCTTCTCCAGGGGATCTTCCCGGCCCAGGAATCAAACTCATATCTCTTATGCCTCCTGCTTTGGAGGCAGATTCTTTACCACTAGCAACACATAAACAGGCTTCCCCATCCCCTTGTTAATAGTAATGCTGCCTTCATTTTAGAGTTTTTCCCAGGTCTTTTTCTATTCATCTCATTGGATACTCACACTGTTTGGCAGCCCTCTTGTTTTCCTTCCCCTTTATGGATAAGCAGGGTAGATTTGCCCAAGGTCACTCAGCTAGTTAGTGGATGATGCAACAACCTTTCATGCCTCCCTGATTTGGAGCATGCTGTTGCTTACTATGTCTTCTTCCTCAATTGGCCAGACTCCTTCTGGACCTTCTCTGAAACCAGCTCAGAAATCACCTTCTCTGTGAAGTCACCCAATAGAGTGCTTCTTTCTCCTGGTCTTCACTGTTCAGCCTAGACAGCATATTAAAAAGCAGAGACCTCACTTTGCTGACAAAGGTACATATGGTCAAAGCTATGGTTTTTCCAGTAGTCTTGTATAGATGTGAGAGTTGAATCAAAAAGAAGGGTAAGTGCCAAAGAGTTGATTCTTTCCAATTGTGGTGCTGGAGAAGACTCTTAAGAGTCCTTTGGACTGCAAGAAGATCAAACCAGTCAATCCTAAAGGAAATAAACCCTGAATATTCATTGGAAGGACTGGTGCTGAAGCTGAAGCTCCAATACTTTGGGCTGATGCAAAGAGCTGGCTCATTGGAAAAGATCCTGATGCTGGGAAAGATGAAGGCAAAAGGAGAAGGGGGCAGCAGAGGATGAGATGGTTGGACGGCATCCCTGACTCAGTGGACATGAATTTGAACAAACTCTGGGAGATAGTGAAGGACAGGGGAGCCTGGGGTGCTACAGTCAATGGAGTTGCAAAGAGTAGGACATGACTGAACAACAACAACACACCAGCATTCATTCCCTGGTGTATGTGTTGGTGGGAGTGAAGACTGGGACATTTTCAGAGAGAAATGAATTTCTGACAATATGTTGAAATGCATGTATGCATACATCATTTGATCCCCACATCAAGGAAAGGAAGCCATTTGGTTCATTTTTTCAATATGTTTTTATTGAGCATTGACTCTGTTCAGAAAAAGCACTTGAGGGACTTCCCTGGCAGTCCAGTAATTAAGACCCCACTTTCCAATGCAGAGGGTATGGGTTCAATCCCTGGTTGGAGAAGTAAGGCCCCACATGCCTCTGGGTGTGGCCAAAAATTTAGAAAAAAAAGACATTTGATAGCACAGAATACCCATTCCTGAAAAAAGTTCTTAGCAAACTGGAGCAGGGAATGAAAGGTGTCACAATAAACCTACAGCTGACATCATAATTTTTGGCATAAATCTGCATGCCTGTCCCCCTAAGATGGGCAACAAGGAAAGAAATTTACTCTTACCATTTAGTCAAAGTGGTACCTGAGGTCACAGTGCAGTAAGACAAGAAAAATAAAGAAAAGGCGTAAAGATTGAAAAGAAAGACATCTTTAGTCATAGATGATGTAATAGTTTACTAGGAAATCCTTAGGAATCTATATAACAACTGCTAGAACTAATCAGTAAATTTAGCAAGATCAAAGGAGACAAGGTCAATATACAAAAAAAGAAATACTTCTTTTGCTAGCTACAAACAATCTGAATATGAAATTTAAAAAAATCATTTACAATAGCATCAGAAAACCCCAACAACAATAAAGGAGCCAGGCATGAAGGAGTACATGATTCTATGAAAAGTGTGAAAGTGTTAGTCTCTCAGTCGTGTCCGACTTTTTGCAACCCCATGGACTGTAGCCCGCCAGGCTCCTCTGTCCATGGAGTTTTCCAGGCAAGAATAGCAGAGTGGGTAGCCATTCCCTTCTCCAGGGGATCTTCCCAACCCAGGGATCGAACCCGAGTCTCCTACATTGCAGGCAGATTCTTTACCATCTGAGCCACCAGGGATGGCCACAGGTTTCTATATGAGAAATTCTAAAAAAAAACAAAACTAACCTTTAGTGACAGAGAACAGATCAGTACATGCCTGGGGCTAGGGCTGAACGGGGGGCTGGGAAGGGGATTAATGACAAAGAGGCCAGAGGAACTTCTTGGGGTGATGAAAATGTTCCGTATTCCGGTCAGGGTATATACACTTGTCAAAACTCAAAAAAACTTACACTTAAAATGGGTGCATTTTATTGTATGTAAATTATATCTGAATAATATTAATCAAAAAGAAAAACAAAGTAAGACAGGCTACATATATGCATATATGAAGATCATATCAAGTTTAGAAATGAGAAAGGGCAGACAGATGGTTACACCAAGAGATCCACTTAGACATTGCTGAATTTCAGACATGAACTACTCCCAGACTTGGCGGGGTCTGGAGGAGAGGCTTGTTTAGGTTTTTGGTAACCAAACCTGAGGTTTTGGTTTTAAAGGGCCTGAACCTTCCTGCTGACTTATGAACCTGTTTCTTTTTGCTTTCTTCCTCTGACTGTCAAACCTCTAATTGCTTCTTTAATCCTTGTTTTTCTGCAAAAGGGATAGCATTAGAAAAACATTCCACCACTCATCCTACCCTCCAGGGGCTGGGATTTCATTTTTATTTATTTACTTATGTATGGCTGTGCTGGGTCTTTGTTGTTGCACAGGTTTTCTCTAGTTGCGGTGCTACAGCCTCTCATTGCTGTGGCTTCTCTAGTTGCAGAGCCCAAGCTCTAGGTGCAAGGGCTTCAGTAGTTGCGGCACATGGACTCGGTCACTGTGGCTGGGATTTCATTTCTTTGCAGGAAATTGTAAGGAACATTTCAGTTTTGCAGAGCCTAAGGCTGGGATGGGCCCTGTGCATTCATGCTAAGTCACTTCAGTTGTATCTGACTCTGTGCAACCCCATGGACTATAGCCCACCAGACTCTTCTCTCCATGGGATTCTCCAGGCAAGAATACTGGAGGCCCCAAATCCCCACAAATGCTGAAAGGCCTGTGTCTGCCTGGTGGCTGGAGGGAAACAGGGGCAGGTGATGAGATTGGGGGCAAAGGACACACACCCCGCAGGCCTCTCTCCCTCCTTTCCTTTCTCTTTACTACACCCAGCCTGAGCCGGTTTCCGGTTACAGTCCTAATGAGGCTCTGCAAAGCCAAGCCTTCTTGCTGATGAAAGGCTGTGTTGTTCTGGCTCTGGCAAGAATAAACCACTGCCAGTGGGTCTCTCTCTCCTTGTCCACCAGGCTGGAACCTGTTTTTTCAAACGTTTTGTGAGCTTTGTCCCTACCCCCACGTTTTCCTGACGGT